GAATTGCTTCGGGTTGTTCATATTTACGTAGATAACTAAACCATTAATAACCACGTTATACCGCACTTAAATTTTGCTCTGCAAAAACAGGGCGATCAAAACGCTACTATAGTGCATCATGTAGCAAAAATGCACAATTTGCCTACACACAAATCTTACTGGCAGCTCTTCCTTGATAAATTTAAATTAATGCGTGCGCATCAATATGCTTAAGTCCCCAGACTGCACGTCCGTCCGGACACGTCTCAACTTTTAAAAGGTTGCACTACACCAAAATGCGCGCCTATAGGGGTGCTCTGCCCAATTCAAGGAGAATTCTTCGCCAAACTGAGGCGCTGCAACGGTACCCCTAGAGTTTATTTGAAAACGAGGAGATTTTGTGGCCGAAGAAATTGTGGGATGGTGGAAGAATGGCCCAGAATGAACTCTCCCCATTCAAGGGCTCCCATCCCAGGGCCAAGCACAGCAAAATGCTACTGACAAATTGTTCCAAGAGACTGAAAAGGTGGAGGGATGTCATTTGAAAAATGGTTGCTGATGACAGACTTGGGAGCGTTCACTTTTTGGGGGTGAGTTTGTTTTTGGTGGATAATTAGAAATTTCATTAGTTAAGTAACCTACTTAAAATTGAAAATCAATAGAAAGCTGAATGACCCAAGAGCACTCTGCTTTTTTAATGTTTTGTTTTGTTCTTGGTTTTTTTGCAAGTTGCCGGGGGGGGGAGGCTTAAGAGGCCCGAGGGACTTTGGTTGCCTGCACCGGGGCTGCAAACGTGGTCGATTTTACCTTGTCTTCAAATGGGCTTCCTTTAGTTCAGTGCACGCATAGACAGCAGTGAAAAATCAGAGCGAAATAGGCGGGGCCGCCTGCTGACTCTCGGAGGACGTTTGTTTCCGTTTTATCATCGGAAATTCAAGATTATGGCCAGTAGATCACTTTTCGTTTCAATTTTATGGGCTTAACCCACGATTTGTTTTTAGTTGCCTTTCCAAAATGTCCAAAATAGTAAAACTGTTCGCCCAGCTCTGATTGTCTTTCCAAATAGGCCCGCAATTTCGGCCTCTTTTTGAAAGAAATAACCCGAACTGAAAACTACCAGTCCAAAATTTGGGATTTATAAAATTGTTTTTGTGATCCCTCCTGATTATAGCATGTTTTATTGTATACAATGCAAACATTTTTCATTAACTAATATAAAGATAACAGAAAACATATCAAAATAATTAAATTAAATCTAACACTAGAGTCAACTTGTTATTAAATTGCTCTCGTGGTTGTGAAAACGGGGTTTCCACAGAAAACTACATTTCTTGGAAAACTACATTACATGACTTTTCCAGGATTTTTTAGTAATAAGAAGCTTAAAAATGCATGACCAAGAGTATGTAGGAAACCCTAAAGCATTTATCTGAACAATCTTCACCTGGAAATGAAATGTTTTCAAGGTTTACTGCAGTTCCATCTTGCGGGAAAAGATCCTTTTGAAGGGATCCACTGTTTTAGAATAATGCCTTTGTGTCCATCACTTGTTTCAACCTGGTCGCCTAGCTGACACTCTCTCAAAAACTGTATTGCTGCTGAGCTGCCTCTTTTGGCGAGTCCTTTGGAGCTAATTAACATTTATTATTTTTTTTAGTCCAAATTCCACGACTACTTATCATATCCTACCCCCGTACATGCTGAAAAACCTGGTTTAGTCCTTTTACAGCCTGGGCCTCCGCTAACCAGCCTGAGAAAAAAATGCAAAAAAATCCAGTCGGCCTTGCCTAGTAGAGCCAGCCTCCACGCTATTCCCTGGCATAGAACTGTGTGCTAAGTGGTCCCTTGTGCACAATCTAATGGGTTGATTTGAAGGGGCCCCCTCCGCTTTTTCACTGGAAATTCAAGATTATGGCCAGGAGATGACTTTTCGTTTCAATTCCATGGGGGTTAGCCACCAAAAAAAATTATTCGCCTTGGAAGGAAGATACCCAAATAGCAGTAAAACTAGGAGCCCATTTCTGGATGTAGCCGCCCGTTTTTATCCAAAATAGGCTCGAATTTGGGACTTTTTGTGAAAGGAATACCCGAACTGGAAACTGTCAGTCCCAAATTAGGGATTTATAGAAATATTTCTATGATCCCTCCTGATTATGGTCTGTCTTATTGTAAAAATCCCGTGGGATCACAAAATATTAATGAGCTTGCGCGCAGAAATACAACTATTTGGTGGAATGCACCCCCATGAACTTTGAACTTGAAGGAAAATGGCGGCCAACGGCGACGGACGAAACGCTGCGGAGATTTTTTATGGTTATCGGAAGGACGCCTACAGCCACACGTCTGCTGAATCTGTGCCCAGCTTTTATAACACATGGGCACAAAGATATAATCAGGTAGATCTAGAGAAATATTAGGTTGTGAATTAGTGTATGTTACTCGTGATAGATCTGATCTGAAGTGGTCACACGACATTTTGTCAGGACAGAGAGAGATGTTGCATCGTAAGCCACTTGCAATTGGGAAACGCTGGAATTAGTTGGTAAACCATGGTTAAACTGAAACTGGGAATGTCAGTTTTGTTGATGTAGTTTTTAAAATCCGTTTTCATGTTCAGGGACGTATTTATAGGGAGGCTTTAATACCAGATAGTTTTGCAGTTATTTGTGGCTGTTTTCGTTTCTGGATTGAATTCCCAATGATTACAGATCCAGGGTCTGTGAGAAGGTAAATTTGGTTTTCAGTCAAACAACATGATATAGTAGACTGGTTCTCAGCCTATTTACAGGTCACAAATTATTGTTGTTCGATGAAAAAAGTGACTGAACAATCTTTCTGTTTAACTTAGCTGTATTGTCATGTGTATTCTTGTAGTCCAGCAACAATAAGTTTTTTTCATAGGCCTAGTTCTTTTATCCCCATCAGTATCACCGATAGGCCTAATATGATAAAATCATCCACAAAATTTGTCATGAATACTGATAAAATGTTTCAGATGGACTTTGATGTTCTGTTGTCTTATGATATTGGTTTTGAATTACTTTGAAGTGTTGCATTACTCGACTACAACGCAGGTTTCTTATTTTTCTCCTGAAATAAAACAGTTTGTATGTGATGTTTTCATATTAAAGACTCCAGGACTTTTAAAACAAAACAGTTCACAAAAAGGCAGAATTGACTACAGGAGAAGTATTTTGAGCGGTAGGTTTTGATGAGCAGAAATGGATCCATCATTGGCTGTTTCAGCCTGTAACCAACATAACTCTTGTAGAAGTGTTAAATTTCGACGCTTTTCTGTCTGTTGCAGGTTAATTTAGGCGGAGGGTATAAAGCTGCCGTTGAATTGGCAACTGTAGTATCTGAGGTAATCGGTGACAAATCCTCGAGGATTCTTGATGCTGCCTCAGGAACAGGTCTGGTTGGAGAAGAGGTAAAAAGGTGTTCATGTATATCACCGCATTGCCAAAGTCCGATGTAGAAAGGCAGGCAAGTGTGGTTGAAAGGGACTTTGTGCTAATCACTGCATTCAGTATTAAAAATTCAATGCTGTTGAGAATAAAGCTTCCATGGAATGACCTTTGACCCTTCATTTTAGGCACGTGCTATAATATGGCTCGTTCTGCTGTACTGCAAATACTTCTTTACCGTACTGTACATCAGGGAAGAGTGTAGGCCCATGAGAAATTGAAGGTTCTTTTACAAACATGCAACCCAAACATGATGAATGATGAGCATGCAACTGAGATGAGTATACATGTACATATGGACATTAAGCATAACATCATGGATTTGTGGAAACCCAAAAGTAAAAAAATTGCTTTTGTAGCGATGAATATAATTTTATTATTCTCCGTTCCTACAGTTGAATAAACGCGGCTTTACTTGCATTGACGCATTAGATGCTTCCCAGGATTCCCTTGACAAGAGCAAGGAACACCAGTCTTACAGCGAGTATATATGCGACACGCTAGACGAGCACCAGACGAAAATTCCAGAGAGTAATGGCTGTACCCATTTGATATTGAACAATCTTTACATTCATCTTCTTGATCCACAGTCGGATCACTTGTCAAAATTTAATTCCAGCCTAATTCGGCAACCAGAACTAGAAGCCAGAATTAGTTTATAGTATTACAGATAAAGTTCATTATACACTTCTTTCATTATGCTGCATGGAGAGCACCCTGCAATGTGGCAGTAAAATTGTGTCGAATTATTTCATAATACAGACGTTTTACGATAGTGCACTACCAAGAGTTTGCAGTGGCCAATCACAGTGCGCGAAATGAGTCGACCCTTTCCAGCAGGGTGCATTCCACCAAATGGTTGTATTTCTGCGTGCGAGCTCATTAATATTTTGTGATCCCACGGGGTTTTTACAATAAGACATGGCATAAACAGGAGGCATCATAGAAATATTTGTATAAATTCTGATTTTGGGACTGATAGTTTCCAGTTCGGGGTATTTCTTTCACTAAAAAGCCCCCAAATGCGGGCCTGTTTTGGAAAGAGGCGGACGGTTACATTCAGAAATGAGCGCTTAGTTTTACTGCTGTTTCGGGGGTATCTTCCTTGAAAGGCCAATAAAAAAGATTTCTGTGGCTAACCCCCATGAAATGGGAACGGAAAGTGATCTTCTGGCCATAATCTTGAATTTTCTGTTAAAACAAAACGGAGGCCAACCTCTTCACGAGAGTCAACAGGCGGCGCTATTTCGGTCCGATTTTGCACCGTTCTCTATGGGCGCGTGTTTGGGGTAGTGCAACCTCCAAACGCACATCCGGAAGTGTCAACCATTTAAATGCACATTGTGCACAGTGCACAGTGGCTACTGCGTTGCAAACCCTTGGCGGCGCACTATTAGGAATCGCCTGCATTGACCAAATTTAGTGAGACTGGGAAAAGTCATTAACATCTGGTGTTATGTTGAAATGTGTTTTGTTTTTGTTTTTTATTTTTTTATTTAACCTTTTTTTTTGGTCGTAAGCTTCCCCTAAAATGAGGGGACTTTTCTTCTCTCTCTCCAGGTCACTACAGTGCGGTGGTGATGGCTGGCGCTTTTGGTATACCGGGTCACGTGGATGAAACATGTTTTCTGGAACTCATTCGTATCACAAAGCCCGGTAAAACCTTCTTGTTGCCGGTGATATATCTTTGCCAATGAAAATGTCGAACATTGGAAGTTGTGTGTGTTTGCTTCAGTGTTCCCTGAATATTTATGTTGGGCATAGGCCTACTGTCAAAATGCTGAATTTAACGTTTATGTCATACAGTTATGAAACACTCATCTAATTTAAGTAGATTTGGCACTGCACTTTATCAAGCAGTGTTTAAATTCATTTGATCATTGTTCTTTTTAACCGGACCAGGTGGGTACATAATGTTTACAGTGAGCGACAAAGTATTCGAGCAAGTGGAGAGGAAGATGAAAGCCGCCATTAGTGCCCATAGCCAGCAGGGACGATGGGAGATTGTGGAATATCGCAAGATCCAGTACTATTTGAATGAGACGTTAGATGAGAAGGCCCAGGTGCCAGTTCTTAGGGTCTTACCAAAGTAAAATCAAGACGGTTAAGGTGTTAATAAGGGTAATTATACCAGACGTTTATAAAGATATTTCATTTGGGACTTGACCGCGCATAGACATTACTCGTTTGCCAACTTTGAGTACCATTATGTATTGCTTGGCGTGTATGCACGATTATGCCCCCTCGATCGCGATTAACAAAATTTGTACAGTTTTCCTCATGTGCTGTATTCAAGTAGGTTATATCATTAAATGTTCTTCCGGCAGTGTCGTTTGCCAACACGTAAAATATTGGCATGAACCACGAGTGTATCGACCGCCTAAAGTTTGCCAACGCATAAGTCTGTTGATTCGATTCCAGTATTGTTAGGCATATAATTATATGCGCTCAATTACAGGGAAGAAGTTTTATTGAACGTGTACAGATTGTTAGAATGTAGTCGTTGTGCACCCATTGAAGATAACTAATGGTGGAAACTGTATTTTTGCAAGGGGCATTCCACTGCAACAGTATGAAACTGAAATAATTTTCACGGGTGAAATATTAGAAGTGAACAAACATTATTGTTCGGTAAAGTATTATGCTACAGACATTAAATAACATCAAGCATCGTCATACATGAATTTTTTTTTTGTATGTGGCACTTTTTGGCGGGCAGCATACGCATATTGACGGCTACTGAAACTGGGAAATGAGAATCAGAAACCAAGATATGCAGCACTGGATCCCCGGTAATGGACTGATCATGACCAAAGAGTCCAGTTGGACGACAAATCACGTTCTTGGGAAGTGACGCTCAGCTGCCTCTTTGATCTCGCTAATCAGTGAGTTCAGGTTCTTTTGGCACCTTATGAGAAGTTTGGATTACAGTTCAAACATACATAGGGAAAGCAGGCTTACTCAATTTCAACATCGCACAGCGCATCCCCTGGAAATTGGAACTACTTTTGTTCTAGAGGGTGACGAACAATGCATGCCGGGGGGGGGACTTGCGACTCATTATTGGAAGTTGACATCTTCCGTTGGCTTCTACTCATCAGTTAAGGAATTTTGTTTGTCAACTTTCACCTTAGAGAAATGACATCAAGTACGGTATCTACCCTCAGTACATATTATAATGTAGGCCTACTATTTACGACACACATTTCTGCCAATTTCTAGACGACGCAACTGTAATTAAAAAGAGCATCACGACTATCATTTTTTCTCCAGGAATTAAACAACACCAGCCACAACGTCAGCCACAACAATATTTCGGCTTTTCCTGCTCTAATTTGATCTTTCAAATAATTATTTCTAAACCCACTGTACAGTACATCAATCAATATTACGTGCTTGTTAATGTAACATGCAGATCTGGTGAGAAATTATGTGCGTGGCCAAACACCAAGTTGAAGAAAAGACACGGCCACTATGATAATAGCGTCTGTGCAATGTGTTATTCAGAAACTAAGACTAATGTCATTGATGCCCATATATAAGTTGGAAACGGTGAAGCAAGAGAGACTTGGCCAAAGAGAATTAAGTCGTGGGTCTATGCGGCAAGGTCATGTCCGGGCGTTGTTGCGGCAGCGCTGGCTGAAGTCCTCCCTCAAAAAGCCTGGTCCGAGAAAGCCAAATCATATCATCGGCTAGCGGTCGACTCCAGCGTGCAAGTGCGATGGTGCCTATCGTCTATCGCTTCTCGGGGCTACCCAGGGCCCCCAAAGCGTCTAGTGAGTCGGGTTGTTTTTGGCCCGATTATAACGCTTTCTAATGAGAAGATTTTTACATTAACCCCCACTCCCTCACTGTCCGTGAAAGGTGTGCCGAGTCCAGTCCAACTCTGACTTAGTTTTGGGAAAAAAGCGTGGTCGACTTCCCTTCCCCCGGGGCTAGCAGGACCCCCAGTGCCCAGTAGAGGGACAATTCCCCAATGCAAAGGTACTTACCTGCAACATAATTAGAATTATATTAACAATGAAGGATAGACTCACCCTGCAGATTTCAAAGCTTAAAGTGTCGACGCTAACACTATCTGTCCAAACTCACTTGAAGAAGACTTTCTATGGTACATGTAGAATCTGGTAAAAGTTGTAGCCGAAGACCAATCAGCTGTTTTGAGGATATCAGCAACAGGGACACCTGCTGCATTAGCTGCTGCTGATGTAGAGGCAACCCTGGTAGAATGTGCCTATATCTCTAAGCCATCTCGAAATTGTGGATGAAATTACAGGTTGATGAGGTTTAGAATGAGACAATAAAAGTTGAGAACATCTAGATCGTCCGCTACCCCTGTAGTGACGTGTCCTGTCCAGGTTCTCTTCTAGAGCCCGAACTACACAAAGATTTCTGTTGCCAGAAAAACGAGGCAACTCGATCTCTTGGAAAGGCTATACAACAGACACTCATTTAGATGGTTTCGTGAGCCAAAACATATATCTTCCATCAGAGCATTTAGACATATTATGACCAATGTCTAGAGCAGTAAGCGAAGAACATCTACCAGCCGAAACTAGGGCAACCAACATAGTTTACTTCAAGGTCGGCTGTTTGATAGACAGGTAACGGTTATCAGGCAACTTTTTAATAAAGTTCAGCACAACAGAAACATCCCATGTAACATTGTACATAGGCCGAGGTGGCCTTACGCTAAGAACACCCTTGAAAAAACCCTTAACAAGATGATACTGACCAATAGGAAGGCCACCTACAAATTGGTAGGCAGAAGAGATAAATGAACGATACACATTAAGGGTTCTATACAGCAAGCCATCATCATAGAGCTGCTACAAAAAGGCCAAAAATCTGCTACAGATGACTGAACTGGATCAATTTGCCTTGAAAAACACCAGCAAGACCATTTCTTCAAACTGGGGTTGTACTGGTTATTAGACTGCTGTGTCCATGATGCAACAATTGGAATTGACCATCGACCTCCTGTTATCAACTGCCCCATGCAAGCGCGGCCCCAGCCTGCAGTAGAGGCATCCATCTGAATCACTCTTTCTGGAGAATGAAGGAGAATGTTGTTGCCGTTCCAGGCGCCTGGAGATAGGCAATCCACGGGCTGAGCTCGCCTTGTGGGACACTAAGGACTAAGCTGTCGTGGTTGAGGTCTCGACGAAGAGGGGAAATCTTGTCTAACTGAAGATGGCGATAAAAGAGGGGTACCGAGAAAACAGCCTGGATTGTTGATGAAAGCCTGCTGAGAAGACTTGCTAGCTTGCGTACAGACACCTTGTCCATCTGTGAGACACACTGGCAATAATTGACAATCTAGTGTCCTTGGTCTAAAGACGGAGACATGAGAATCGAATCTACAATGAACCCCAGAAACAGGATTTTCTGCGTAGGAACCAGCTGAGACTTAACGAAACCCAGTTCCTGAAGGAGACTGGTCGCCCGAATTGTGTTGTTGTAACACTCCTGCTGCGATGTCGCTAGAATAGGCCCCTAAGCATGTCGTCCAGATAAAATGCACATGCATCTGACTCCTTGTTCCCGTAGAGTTGCTGTCACAAGGCTTCAAAATCTTCGTGAAAACCCAAGGTGCACAACAGGCCTAAAGGAAGGCAAGAAAACTGGTAGATAGTATACTGCCACATGAAAGGAAGAAACTTTCGATGAGTACGTTGATAGGAACTGTGAAATAGGCGTCCTTCAAATCTATGGACGTCACGGTCATTTGGAGACAAAAGGTCTTTCACTGGAGATAGGTTTTCAATCTTGAAATGTTCGTAGGCTATGAACTTGTTCAAGGGCCATAAATTTACTACTGGACGGAGATCCCCAGACTTCTTTGGGACCATAAACAGTGAAGAAATAAACAGTGAATCGGTTCGCGAAGGCAACTGTAATTTGTTTGTGGACGTTTATGGGCTCTTGCTGCTATGCCGTGATCGGCCTCCGTAGAATTTTTAGCCGGCTACGAATTACGTGAAGGGTTGCTTGCAGCCGTAAAAATAGCGTCCAGCAAAATCCGGCCCGAATGTACTGTATATGTCGTGCCAATTTCAGCTTGGTGTAAAGTAGGTCCCCTAGTACGACCACGACAATAGAGGAACAAGGACAGTGGTAAAAATCTTGAATTTCATGTCACCAGTTTGTTTGTTTGTTTGTTTGTTTGTTTAAGCAGGTGTGATGTCGGTATTTTGCCGTGCTTGTCTCGTTTGTTAGAATTTTCTTGACCTGCAGCCACAGCCCGCGTGCGTGCGGGCAAGCCCATTCTTTTGCTACCTTCGGGACCATGACACTGGGGCTGGTCCGGACAACTCGACCGTTCGCCAAGTCGATTTCGGACAACTTGACCGTTGAGACAACTCGACTGTCCGTGCGTAAAAGGGAGAGACAAGTCGACCGTTGAGACATGGTTGAGAGAAGTCGTCCGTTGAGACAAGTCATCCATTGAGACAAGTCGTACGGTGGGATACTGTCCGCTCAGCCCAGTCTTCTGCTGAGGCCACGTTGTGAAATACTATACCTTAATAATGAGATGGAATTTCACGTAGTAGATAGGCCTAGACAAGCCTAATTTCTGATTTATAAAAGTGGTTGCCGTAGTAAGCCAATCATTGCACAATCGATCTTGCACCCATGCTTACCCAGCCACTATACACCTGCTACAGGCCAGGTGTCAGTCACTTTCCCCATTTCCACTTCGCCCCATGCCACTTTGCCCCCAACCACTTCACCCCATTTCCACTTGCCGCTCGAGTGGTTACATGTTCTTTCCAGATATGGAACTGGGAAAACGACTATGTATTATGTGTAGAGATCATATTGGTCGAATTGTCTTTCTATCAAACTCGACTTATCCTAACGGGCAACTTGGCAAATGGTCAAGTTGCCTGAAGTCGAGTTGCCAAATGGTCGAGATGTCTGACAGCCATGTACATAGCTGGGTGTCAGTCACTGTACCCCATTTCTACTTCGTTCCATTTCAAATTGCTCCAGCATCCACTGAATTTATCCTTTTCTTTTAGTGGGAAAAGTTCCATACACATGTACATGTACGGATGCCAGTAATTCTTCCCTTCAGTGACTTAACCATTTCCTGCTGAACTTGTACACTTGTGCATAGAGCTATGTAATCTGCCTTAAGCAGAAGCACCTCCTCATTACCAGTCATGCCAGTAGCTGAAAAGAGCCAGGTTGGTTGGGAGAGTTCATTTTGTTGGTATTGATGCGACCTTAACACATGCACTTCATAGTTGTTTGCCAACCAGCAAAGTTCATGTACATGTACTCCTCCCACCAAAGGAGCCTGGCATTGCTGGGGAAATTGTCACCTCTCTTAGTTGCCAAAATAAAAGGAACTTTACATACATTCAGAGTCCTGAAGTTCTAACTTGGCTTTCCAAACTCCAATTCTGTTGAACAGTCATGCCCCTTGAAACAAAATGGGTGGGCAGATTCCAAATATAACTTTATTTCATTAAAAGACTTGTATTCAAAGTTGAACGTTTGTGCTGTCCCATCCCTTCCAAGCTCCAAACATCTTTCTTTATAGCTCCGCCACCGGCGTACGTGTACATGTAAGAGGTCTGATAAAAATGATATTTTGAAATTTATTTTGCTTCAAGGTGTGTGACACACAAGATCAGCTGTTGTCAGATGAGTAAACACTGCATACGTGTATTTGCTGCCAATCCAACATTCCCGACAATAAACAATGTAGATGCACAAGGGATGACCAGTGTAGCCAGGCACCAGTGGGATGGGAGCCTACAAGTCCAGGCCAATGTCATCATGCTCAGGTTGGTACACAAGTCTTAGGCCGTTTTCCAATAGTCAACTTCGTCTCCGTCTCGGGCTTCGTGTAGGAAACCAATCCCTGATTGTGGGTCTGAAGCGTTCAACTTGAAGTACATTGTACTGTAATGTTTGGCTGTTTTGCATCTTGATCTTTTGTGGCACTATCAGACTTGATATTGCACTGAAAACCTCTAAGTCAGGAAGTAAAAAAAAAACCAGTTGAAGCCTGCGACGGAGCCCAAGCCGAGTATTGGAAAACGGCCTTAGCTCCAAGACACGAGTGGTCCTCCCTTCTCCATGTACATGTATATATGGTTTAAGTAATGCCCTCTTAATGTTCACTGTCAGAGGCACTTACTTCAAGTGTAGCTGCGTTGAAGTTTTCTTTGACACAAATCTTCTGCATCTTTGTACTTTTCTTCAATGTATGTATACTCTTACACACACCTATTTTTAAATGAATTGAAAAGTGCACACTTCCAAACAATCAAAATTATCCATGTTTTCCCAGACAACTGATAGGGTGTTATTGCTGTGGGAAGACATGGTTCAGTGTATGGGTATTTCTGTTGAAACTGAGAACCCTGAGTTGACTAACTGAAAAAAATTTCTGAGAGACGGATGGATGGTTTCTTATTTCCATACCCATAAACAACAAAAAATCAGCAAAGAACAGAAAACTTAGTCCAGGAAATTCTACAAAAATGCATACTACTCTGTGTACAAACCAATGTAACATTGAGGCTTCCTCTTGAGATGACATCACAGTGTTGCTCATAAATATGCAAATCTCATTAGCATTTAAACTAAAAAGGCATTCAAATACCCTTTGAAATAGGAAAACCAAAGTTGAAAATAAGGTTTGCTGAGGCACAAAAAATAGATTTTACTGGTATGTAATCAAAAACATTGATTGCAGCTACGTTTTAAGTTTGGGCAAGCAGATCTGTACACATTTGAAAGATGAGTTTACATAATGTACTCATCACTCTTTTCATGCTTGGCCAATGGAGGAAGGCAAACTAGAAGTTCTTGCATTAGAATATAGTATGGTATCATATGCTCATTTGAATGTTCACAGAGTTGTTACATCTCTGCATGGATGTTGGACAGTGGGTGCAGCATTAAAGTGTGTGCAACTCTTTGTCAGTCACAGAGGGGCACGTATGAACAGGGTTCATACCTGACTTTCATCCGAATGTGCACAAAGCAGTGGCATCTTTTTAAGGTGCTCTGCTTAACAGCTTCGGCATTATCAGTCTGTATCTTTGCCAGCCCTAAAGGCGTGCTTGTGCATAGGGTGGCCATGAACAGTTTATCCCCAATGTTTAGCACTAGTTGTTAAAAGGTTAGGCTTGTAATCTCAGGTTTCTTGCTCTCACGTCCACTCTGAAATAAGTCAAATTGATTGTTTACTTTGACAGAGGCATGGCTGAAACGAGTAAGGGACAGCTACATCACACTGAGGGCCAGGGTCACACAGGACATGACAGTTAGCAAGGATAAGGAGCTGAGTGCATTACAGCAAGCCTGCTGGTATATAGAGAATAGTCTACCAAATCCATGGCTTATAGACATTATGACCATACCTCACATGTATTCATGATTGAGACCTGGGCCGTTTTCTAATACTCAACTTCGGCTCCGTCTCAGGCTGCAACTGTTTTTTACTGGCTGACTTTGAAGCTGTAAGCACAGTAATCAGTCTAATAGTGTCACAGAACATCGTAAGATGCAAGAAAGCCAAAAATTACAGTAATGTAATTTAAACGCTTCAGGCCCATAATCGGGGATGGGTTTTGGGAACGAAGCCTGAGAGGGAGACAAAGTTGAGTATTAGAAAACGGCCCTGAACTCTGCCGACTCCATTCATCACCGCACGCTTGCCATTTACATGTACATGTAAGGGTGTTCAGGAACATAACTTCATTGAAACTGTCACTAGGCTGACATAAGCATGAGCAAGCATTTTCCTGTCCAAGATATGGTAAAACAAACGAAGCATGGTTTGTTTACGTTGGATAATAAATATTAGCTTCCTTAAAGTATTGCAAGTTGAAACACTTTTTCCGAGATGGAGCCGAGGAAACTAGTTTGTAAACGTCAGATACTTCAGGGAGTTGAAATCAATTATTACACAACTTTTGCTGTGGCTTCATCTTGGTTGGCTGAAACACAAAAAGCCTTTTGCGAGTTAAATTTGAATGAAATCTGGAACACTGAGTTAACTGATTGTACATAAATTCTAGGCTTAGGACAATGTTGCTGTACCTTGTGATTCAGGGCAATCTTGAGAGACCACTACATGAAGCTCCTTTATGCCCTTCTTATCCATTGAAAACGGTGTACATGTACAGCAAAAGCTTGCCCTAAACACGCTAAATCACAAGGTCTACATGTAGCGACAGCGTCTTCAGTTCAGGAGCTAGAAAGTTGATTGCTGATTTTTCACATGTACTTGGGGATAAAAAGTTCCATTTTCTTTTTCTGCCCGTTTTTAGTAATGACGACATTGATGAAATCTTGCAGCTGATTAGTGAGACAAATATTCACGAACGGACCAGCAATGGGCTGACACTACTACACCTATGTTGCTTGGATGGAGGTAATACTGTGTACACGTATACATACTCCTAACAAGTAGTGCATAAGACTGCATGTGCATCCCGGCGGAGTCAACTAATATTGTTGTGGGTCCATGTTAAAGGGCTGCATAGGAGCCACGTATTTTTTTAATGTACATCAAGGAAAGAAGTTTTTTCAATTACTGTATGTTTCAATAGAGTGAGTTGGGGCAGTGCACCTCAAAATTGAAAATGGTGACAACAGTTCTATGTTAAAAGTATTACCAGTGATTCACAAGTTGTTTGGTGTGATCGATTGAATAGATGTTCGTTGCTTGTGGAGACCTGTGTCACTGATGGATGTTGTAAGAATTAGGGGTGAAAACTGAAGGACAGTTTGACTCCAGTTTTAATTTTTAAAAAGTTGGAATAAAATTCGCCTCTTTGATAGATAATAATCTGCTTTATATGTTGATGTTGTCTTAGGTTGCAAGAGCGTCATACGTTTTCTGGCCAGGGTAGGTGCCTTTATCAACAGTCTTAGTGTACGAGGCTTCACGGCACTTCATGTCGCTAGCTTCAAGGTGAGACTTCAAGCGGCTATCGGTAATTCCAGTCCCTAATTTGAGAAGTGCAGGGGCATGTGTCTGATCAGAGACAATTTTCCAGTACCAACTCCTCCGTTTCCCCAAACTGAATCCCTGAAGCTTTCTGGAGCACAGCCCAATAAGCCACTTGTGAGTTAAATTTGAATAAAATCTGGTACCCTGTGTTATCTGATTGCATAGGAACGTAACCATTTGAATTCCCTAGACTAAAGACACTGTTGCTATACCTCGTGACTCAGGGCAAGTTTTTGCATAGCGACCACCATCTCTGGAATGGACTGGTTCCTTCTTATCCATTCAGAATAGTGTATTGTTGCAATTCGTCTCTTATGTAACTAAGGAAAAGCTTGCCCCAAGTTACGAGGTATAGCAACAGTGGTTGTAGTATAGAGAATTCGAATTGTTATGTTCACGTGAATTTAAGCAACTCAGTGTACCAGATTTTATTCAAATTTAACTCGCAAAAGGCTTATTTGTGTCTTTAGAGGGGATATTGTGCATGTCTTTACATTCAAATTGTTGTATACAAGAATATCGTAGGGTTCATGGTCGGTTAAACATCCACAACTGATCGTGTAGAAAATATGTAAGAGGTCATCCGAAAAAGTTGAACAAAATGGACGAGGGACCGTGATTGCAAATACGAAGACAGATATGCTTGTAGGGTGTATGTTTGTTTTCTGTAGAACCTTGAAAAAAGGGGGGAATAAATATAAACCATATGTTTCTGAAGCAACGCTCATGTTCAAAAAATGCTAGGCTACGTTTTGTTTTCTCTGAGCATGGTGAAGAAAAACGTCATTGTACCACAATCTTGCTGTATACATGCACATTTATTGTTCAGAATGCAAAATTGAATATGCCCAGTGACATTGTTCACTTCAGTTTCAAGCATTTCTGGTTTTGACAGGACATTAGCATATGCAGGTACAGCCTTATTTGCACGAGCATAGATGCACCAGTTGCAGAAGTTGCTCTGTGCAGCAAGCAAACCATCTTGTGATTCCATACAGCTCAATGGCAGAGACATATTGAAACTGGGAGACCTCTAAGTACCGTCTAAATATTTCATTGGAATAGCAAGTTGTATTGAAATTAGGTAGTCTTTCCAACTAATGCTGTACCAAATATCAGGCGAAATGCAGCCGGGAATCAGTTATAGAGTACACATGATATCGTGCATTGCATTTGTTGAGAAATGTTGGTAAGCAGCTCTGCGATACGGGTACTTAATCAGAAAGGAAAGTTCAACAGTATGTTAGCCGAGTTTTTTATGGGTTGTAAATCTCTGTATCATTTTTTTCCCCAAATTTGTCTTGTATCAGGGTGATATCGAGTTGGTAGGGGATCTGCTGATGGGCGGGGCTGACGTAGGGCGGATGGGCTATGCCTCCATCACTGCCCTTCACTTGGCTTGCCTTTGTGGCCATGCACAGGTATAAAAGTAACGATTGCAGTTGTTCGTGACTTTAAAGGACATGGAGAGGAAAAAAAGAAAACACTCAGAATAGTACTCTTTCCTCTGTTGTCATTTGCTGTTGCCATTTTGGAAAATTAACTTTCCTTGATCCTCAGAAAAAACAACAATGGAGAAAGCAAATTCCCATGCAAATCAAAAAACCCATTCACGTGCTCTGTCAGTGTTGCAGCTATGGTTGTATGAGTAAAAAAAAATAAATATATGAATCGAAAATGATGTCATGAACCTATTAGAAACATTTAACTATAGATTAATTACACCAAAATGCATTTCAAGAAATTGACATGCACGGCAACTTGGTTACTGAGTCAAAAGTCACAGAATGTAACAGAATAAGCCGTAAGTTTTACGCAGAAATCAACGTCACAGGACGAAATGAAGAAGTCACAATCATTACTTATCAATAATGTGTATGCATAGTCAGTAAAGATGGCATCCCCATACAGAAACCACTCATGCACATCATTTTGACAAAA